CTAAATAAGGGACGGATAGCGCTGATAACCGTTGTGTAGCTTTGCGCGAAATTAAAACCAAACCATCATAACGAGAATTTTAGTGGAGAAAGATTACTAGAGGCTCAGCTATTCTTTCATTCACTATAACAACACACTAGTTCAAATTCTAGGTTCATCAGTTCTCCCCAGAAAAGCGAATCAAATATATTAAGGACTCATACAAACAATTATTTGGTTTGATGTATGCTCTTTACTTACCACTAGCGAACAATTCACGTCCCATTTGGCGAGGAAAGGAAGTTTTTAAATAATTAACCAGTTAGTCTGCTGAATAATAATTCATTGTGGCAGTATGTCACCTATTTTAGGTTTGTAGTGGCGAGTAAAGGACTACTCGTCAAAAGCAATAACATGTGCAGTATCGAACGTGTTTTATATTATATATACATGACACCGGTGCATGAAGTAGGAAAATACACTAACGATACTTACAAAACATTGAATTGGAATAAAATTGAAAAGTAGATTAATTCATAATTCATGAAAAAAAAAGTTCAAAGTAAAGGTTAAAACCCAAACTCATGAAATTGGAGTTTTACAGAACTACCCTAAAATTCGAGGAGTTTACCATGTCTGTGCGAAACACGTAACCGTGACAGTTTCATAATTATACATGATGTCCATTGCATATAATGCAGTTTTTCTGGTGTCTATCGTCCACACACTACGGTGCTTAGAAAGTATTTTGATGTCAAGGGTGAGCTTAAGTTTCCTTGGTTTGAATGTAATTAACATTTTAAATTACAAAACAGCCTATTGTTTGTTATGAATTTCGCGCAAAGCTACACGAGGGCTATCTGCGCTAGCCGTCCCTAATTTAGCAATGTTAGACTAGAGGGAAGGCAGCTAGTCATCACCACCCGTCGCCCCAACTCTTGGTCTACTCTTTTACCAACTAATAATGGGATTGACCGTTACATTATAACGCCCACACGACTGAAAGGGCGAGCATGATTGTATGACTGGGATTCAAACCCGCGATCCGCAAATTGCGAGTCGAACGCCCCCTAATCACCTGACCAAGATCAGCCTATCCACAGATTCATTTTTCGTTATACGTAGCATGATGGGGGTAGTGGCGGTTGGAATAAATAACCCTTCGCGACAACACCTATGTTCTTACAGGATTTGTTAAGCAAATTGTGTAATTTTTTTGTTTTTGTAAACACCTTTTGTATCCGATAAACAACTACAGTATAACAATGGACATTATGGTATGAATAGTTCACCGTAGCCTCAAGTTGTGATTTTCATGCCATTATAATGACCGTGCTGTATTAACTTGTCTGGACACGTTACTTT